TGAATAAAACTATGAATTTGTATTGTGACAATCAAGCGGCGGTAAAGATTGCAAACAACCCGGTTCAACATGATAGGACCAAACATGTCGAAGTAGATCGTCATTTCATAAAAGACCACCTCGAGAAGAAAACTATTAAGTTACCATTTGTGAATTCGAAGGAACAACTAGCCGACATGCTAACAAAGGCTGTACATGCAAGAGTATTCAATGGCTCTCTGGACAAGCTGGGAATGATGGACATTCATTCACCATCTTGAGGGGGAGTGTGGACGAGAGCACACTAAAAGTAGATAAGATTGTGGTAGTAATTATCATATATTGTATTTCCTATAGTATAGGAGGTTGTTATTGTTTCCTTTCCTTACTGGTTGTATCCCTATATATGTATACCTTCTGTAACCTTAATAAAGTAGAAAACCTTCATACGAATCCTTTTGCTTACATGATCGACCGTAACTATTGACTAGTATTTGTTACATGTTTATGTAAAATAGTAACGAAATATGTGAACATAGTTTGCAATGGTGACATTTTTTAGTTAATACATGACTAAAATATTATTGGAATTTGATTAATCACCTTTAGTAACCCAGTTAATCAAAACCTTGACAACATGTTTCAAAAAACTATTACAAAAAGTCGCTTTTGTACTAGTGAGTGGTTTTAACTTGTACAAACACCAAGAATAGATCGTAAGCATATATTTAATTCATTAATTCATTTAATTTTAATCTTATTCTGATTAATTTAATGTTATGATTATGATTTATTTATTTTGTTTACTATTTTGTTATCTGATTTTATTTATTTGATAAAATTTTATGTATCCTAAAATACAGATGTTCCAAATACTGAACCCTATAGTAGCATTCAATTCGATAGCGGTTCGGGTATGAGATCCATTTTGTATTTTTAATTCGAAGACTATTATCGACCAAAATTAGTAGCCCAAGAACAACAGGCACTATTGATTTTTCTTATTGGATCAAATGTAAACAGTTGCCCAAAAATGGCATCCCACTTCTGATTTTACTTATTGGATCAACTGTGTGAACAGTAGCTCAAAAAAGTAGTCGCACTCATGATTTTGCTTTTTAGATCAATCGTGAACACTAGCCCAAAAATAGCGGCCCGCTTAATTAATTAATTTTTTTTTATTAACGAAAAAATTATAAATATATATCATGCATCCTTCAACAGGATTTTTTTTTTTATTATGATTATAATTAGTCCTTCAAGCTGCCATGTTTATGATCGCATGCAAACGTGTTCATTATAGATTGACGTAGTTGTATCATATATGAGAGGGTTGTTCGAAGAATATTCTATTCATTTATTGTGTCAAACAGAAAGAAACAGACCATGTTTATGATCACATGCATACAAATTCAACTATTAATTATAGGTTGACCTAGGGTGTTTAAAACATAATCATGCTACCATGTATCCTATTCGTCATTGTGTCAAGGAGAAAGAAATACACCATGCTTTGATGCTTATGATCACATGCAAACGTATATGATGTTCAATATAGATGAAAAAAGTAAATATACTTGAAAATTGTCTATTATTGGGGGAGATATCGGTTCTAATTTAGAGATATCAATTAAGTTAATTAGGAAGCTATACTTTTTGGCAATGTTTTAAAAACCGGTTTTTTAGTTGAACCGGTATGATGACCGGTTTCCGGTTCAACCGGTTTAACCAGTTCGACCGCCAAATAAACCGATTTCTATAATTTTTATATTTTTTCGTATTTTCCTAAATAGATATATACATAAATCAATAATCTGATGTCCACAAGTTCAAACATTAAAAATAGACATGAAAACAAGTTGTAGATCAATCTAAATACATTAAAATAACATATAACCATAAGTTTTATATCAATCCACGTGCATTAAAAAAAATAAAATCTTAAATGAATACAAACGCATCAAAGAACTTCATAAAATTTATCATGTGTTTTTATTCATAAAAATATTAATAGACTAGACGAATTCCCGTGCGTTGCGCAGCGAAGATTAAAAATATATTGTTAAAATATTGAAAAATATATATTTAAAATGGTTATGTTATTGACATTAATTTTGAGATAATATTTTTACACTAATATATATATATATATAATATATATATATATATATATATATATATATATATATATACACATAATCTCTATTATTTTGAACAATAATATTCATTGACATCAACCCACATTCCTCATTAATAGAATTAAATATAATTATCTATTTAGTATTATTTTTAACAATTATTATTATTGATTAATTATATTTTTTACTTATGCGATCATTTTCTAATTTCAATAATGATGTTCATTTAAAATACAATTTATTTATAGCTAAATGTAATTTATAATTTGATGTTATAATCATTTAAAATTGTTATTCATTAGTTTTAAACCACTTATTATTAATAATAAGTTAAAGAAGACTTTTAAGAAACACTTAATATTATTATTAAAATGTGAAATATACACTAAATAATAAAGTGATAGGATATACAATTTGCATTTCAAAAGAGACTTGCATTGATAATATGACATATCCATGTAATTTGATTTTATTATTTGTAATTATTGCTTATTAATTTTAAAACCACTTGTTATTATTAATAAGTGAAAGAAACTTTTAAAAAACACTTATTGTTATAATTAAAATGTTAAACATATACTAAAATATAAAGTGATAAGATAGACAATTTGCATTTTAAAAAAGGCTTACATGGATAATATGGATAATATGACATATCCATGATTTTTAATTAACTATTGTTTTGAAGCAACATGAACATACAAACATGTATACAATAGTTAATTAAATATTATATATCATCTTCCATAACATATGATCGATAACATGAATCTAATCTAATTTACATTAAAATTTCAACCACAACATACATATTCTTAATAGAATACTTAAATCAAGAAGATACAAAAAAGAATTAGTATATAACAAACTTACAAATTTAAAACTTCAACATAATAACATGGCTCGAAAAATTGTTCAAAGCCCTCAAACCAACACAAAAAAACTTTAAACTTGTTTTCTTTGTGAATTTTGTATGTGATTTGTATTTGTGTGTCTACTCAAAAAGATTGACCTTTTTATAGTAGAGTATCCATTAATTGTTTATTAAATATATTATATAAGTTATAAAACCTTTGAATTGTTAATCATTATTAAGAGACTTTTGAGTGGTATTCATTAAAATAGGAGGTTTCAAATGCATGAGGTGTTTGCAAAATTTTGTGGGGGTTTCAAATGCATGAGATTCAAGGAAAAATGCTAGCTTTAGAAGTATGTACGATGTGAAAAAACCACTAAAGTTTATTATGCAAAATGTTTCAATTTCATGTGTTTTTATTCAATTTAACCGGTTCAACCGGTTTAATTTAACCGGTTCAACCGGATTTTTGTGAAAACCGGCCGGTTCGTTCCGGTTCAGAAATAGACATAAAACCGGTGATAGTTGAACCGCTCCCTTCTCCGGTTCCCGGTCCAACCGGTTCGACCGGCCGGTTCAAACCGGTTTTTAAAACATTGCTTTTTGGAGATCAAGCAAAATATAAAGCCCCTAATAGATTCGGTTTGGGATCGGTTACATCGTTTAATTTTCTAGTAACCAAACTAATAATTAATATTGAGGGAAAATGACATATCAATCCAACGAAGTTTCCAAACCGTTCAAAAAACCACAATCATGTTTTCTCTGTTTAAGAAAACCCAACAAACATAACCTTTTGTCTAAAAAAGCCAAATTAAGTTACACTTTTGTTCAATTCTGTGGAAGTCAAAGAAGAGAAACATATGACGTGACTTATTATAATATTGGGAAAATGACTTGTAAGACCAACGAAGTTTCCAAAGCGTTCAAAAAACTCCGATCATGTTTTGTCTGTTCAAAAAACCCAATGAACTTAACCTTTCGAACCGACAAAACATGATTTGGTTTTCTTGAACGGTTTGGAAACTTCGTTGGACTTATTTAGACAAAATGTTAAGTTCGTTGGGTTTTCTTAAACAGACAAAACATAATTGAAGTTTTTTGCATGGTTTAGAAACTTCGTTGGGCTTGTAAGTCATGTTCCCATAATATTGAATACCAAAAATGTCAAAACTTGAAACCAAATACCAAAGCAGTTGTATATACGTAATCTATTAGAGTATGGTTTGGTTCTAGTTTTTTGGTGTGGATTGGTACTCATCCCTAAGGGAGGAGGGAGTCATTCCCTCCCAACCCACTGAACCCACTGCCACATCACTTTTTCTTTTTTATTTTTCTTCATCTTTCCGAACCCACAACACACAGAAATCCTATCTTTTTGAACCCACCCAACCCACTCAATTAAAAATAAATACAAAACAATCAAATGTAAAATCTTAATTACCAATAGAGTTATCGGCGGTACCACTCCCGCTTCAACGAGTGGGCTGATTGGTTTCACTAACCCACTTCATCATCTCTCTCTACTTTCTCTTTCTTATTTTCTCTTGTACCATGTGTTTTAAAACTTGTACCTTAGTTGGTTTGTATTTTTTTTTAATTGACTGGGTTGAGTGAGTTCAAAAAGATAGGATTCCGTGTGTTGTGGGTTCGGAAAGATGAAGAAAAATAAAAGAGAAAAATTGATGTGGCAGTGGGTTCGGTGGGAACGACTCCCTCCTCCCTAAGAACCTTTCATAAAAAAAAACATACTAAAACTAAAACATGTCTTATTTATGAGCAAAATTTTTTTTTATTAGGAAGCAATACAACAAATCTAACCAACATATCAATTAAAAAATGAAAGGCGTCCGCCAAAAAAAAAAAAAAAAAAACTTTTAGATCCAAACAGACCCATCTTGTAGATGCTAAAATATCATTTTTGTTTTTCACTTATAGCATTGTAAATGACAGAACGATGGGATTGAATAGACCACATCGATATCAAAACTCAAAACCCTCGTTTCATCCCCAATCTTCGCGGCAGTATGCAGATCTTCGTGAAAACCATCACCGGCAAGACCATTACCTTAGAAGTAGAGAGTTCTGATACAATCGACAACGTCAAAGCCAAGATCCAGTATAAGGAAGGGATTCCACCTGATCAGCAGAGGCTCATATTCGCCGGGAAACAGTTGCAAGTTGGAAGAACCTTAGCGGAGTACAATATCCAGAAGGAATCCACCCTTCACCTCGTCCCCCGTCTCCGTGGTGGAATGCAGATTTCCGTCAAGACCTTAACCGGAAAAACTATCACTTTGGAGGTTGAAAGTTCTGCTGGGATTGACAATGTGAAGGCTAAGATACAGGACACTGAATCTACGTTGAATATCAGCCTCCGTATTCGCAGCACGATGAAGATCTTCATCACAACACTAAACGGCAACACGATGACTTTGGAAGTTAAAGGCTCCGATACGATTGATAACGTGAAGGCTAGGGTTCAGGACAAAAGCTTTCCACTGGCTAAGCAGTGTTTGGCCTTTAATGGCACGCAGCTCGATGATGATAGAAGTTTGGCGGATTATAATATCCAACAAGAATATACCTTGGTTCTGAGGTTTAGAGGGGATGTGCAGATCTTTGTCAAGTTTTTGACAGGAAAGACGATCATTCTGGATGTTGAGAGCTCGGATACTGTTGATAATGTGAAGGCAAAAATTCAAGCCTTGGAGGGGATTCCGGCTGATCAGCAGAGGCTTGTATTTGGTGCGGGGCAGCTTGAAGATTATCGGACTCTCGCTTATTATAATATTGAAAATGAGTCCATTCTGCACCTTGTCCTGCGTATCAGAGGTTAAATGGAGCAGGTGTTATTCCAAAACTTCTTTCATCCCGTTTTATGCTATGGTGATTTACATACACATTGGTAAAAAGATAACTCGTTTTGTTTATGTAAAATGGGGGCTGATATTGCCACGGCAATTTTTTATGTTTACTGTATAAAATATATTTTGACTATTATGCCCCTATTTATTAAAGAGAGAGAAATACTATCTTTGTTTCAAAAAACAAAAGTTCATGACTGGAAATTCCAAACGACTATGTTTCTTCCTCCTTCGGTTCTGTTCTTCAGCCGGTGTTGCTTCAGCCAACCAGGGGCGGAACACGAGCATTAGAATTAGAGGGGCCGAAATCAAAACTTCAAAATAAAAAATGTTTTATATGGTTCAAAATTATGACATATCAAAGTCTTTGCTGAAAGAGATCATTTAATTATAAGTAAATTTTTAGTCATACTAAATTACTTCGGTTTGGTACGTACGAATAAGATACATATATGTAAATCTTAAGGATTATTGTAATGTTTATGTAGTTATTTACTGTTACACCTTACAAATAAATCAACAAACAAGTAATAAGCATCTAAATATTTCAAATGCCAAAATTGATTTGTACATACTAATAAGTAATAAACAATAAACTTACATATAAAAATAAATAGTTTAATCCAATAAAATAGCAATGTCAGCTTGCTAGCTTGACAACTTTACAGTTTTACAGGGAGTAGGCACATTGCAAACTATAGGGACTAGTTATAGGGACTAGGTTTAATCACAATTTTATGCTCTTCTTTATGTGTTAAATAACCGAGAAAAAAATAGAGAAGAGGCAAAAAGAGGCTACCTATAGTGCAGTGGGACTTGGGGAAAACCGAGAAGGCTCCGACATCCGACAAAGACGAGTGAGAGAGATAGAGAGCATACCATAAACACATGCGACGAACACCGGAAGGGCGTACAAAGGTAGCAGCGATCTATGCGGACGACATTGTTCTTCCGGTGAGTTTTGAGAGGTCTTTCACGGCGGCAAAAATATAATTTTAGGTTTACAGTTTTCTTAAACTCAAAGTTAAATGGTTGTAAATTTGATTGTATCCAATGTTTTAAAAACCGGTTTTTTAGGTGAACCGGTATGGTGACCGGTTCCCGGTTCAACCGGTTTAACCGCCGGGTGAACCGGTTTCTATATTTTTCATGTTTTTTTCTATTTTCCTACACATACATACATATAGAAATTATGAATTTGATATTTATAAGTTCAAACATTAAAAAATACACATAAAGATAAGTTGTAGATGAATCCAAATACATTAAAATAACACATAACCATAAGTTTTAGTGTTTTACATCAATCCATATACGTCAAAAAGAAAATAAAGTATAATACCAAAACGAAATATAGTTTTTGATGAATACAAACACATCAAAAGAATTTATAACATTTACCGTATGTTTTTATTTAGAGAAAACTAAATAGATTTGAAAAAAATCACCAAAGTTTATTATGTAAATGATTCTTTTTTCATGTGTTTTTATTCGGTTTAACCGGTTCAACCGGTTTATTTTGACCGGTTCAACCGATTTTTTCTAAAAACCGGCCGGTATCCGGTTCAGAAATCAATGTAAAACCGGTGATAGTTGAACCGCTCCCTCTCCCGGTTCCCCGTCCAACCGGTTCGACCGGCCGGTTCAAACCGGTTTTTAAAACATTAATTGTATCTTTGGATTTTATTTATTTTATAGATTTAATAGGTATATAGCTTCCTTATGTACAACAAGTTCCTAAAAAAGGTGAAGTAGTTTTCATCTGTGATTTTGTTTAGTGATTTTCTGAAAGTTTGTCAGTGGGTATTTATTGTTTTAGTTAAAAACTAAGTTGTATAAATTAAATACTGCTTATACTTAAAAATCTGGAAAACAGGAGGGGCTAATTTTTCATTCTAGTAAATATTTTATAACTTGGTTATATATAATTAGGTATTGTGAGCTTCAAAAGCAGGGGGGGTCATGGCCTCCTCTGGCTTCTAAGAGGGTCCGCCACTGCAGCCAACACCATTTGTACCCTCATTAGAAGCTTTAACCAACATAGCTATAAGTAAAAGAGCACAGGCTTACAGCCGTCGGAAACACAAGAAACATCAAGAATGAGTTTGAGTTGCCATGGTAGATTTGAATAGAGACTATGCTTCACTTAAACCAAGAAATCCATGAGGAATTTGAATAAATAATTTACTTTGTATTATTTTGTAGGAATTTCTGTGGAAAGTTAAATAGCACCAAACTAAAAATGTTTCGTCTTTTTCTTTTTGCCTTTCCTTTATTTTTTTTAAATATTATTATATATATTAAAGTTATGAAATATTTTAACGGTAAAGTGGCACTTTTTTGTCAATTTTGGTCCTCCAACTTACAACATTGACCCTTCATCTTTATGCTTTTGTTCACAAACAACCCTTTCACGTTGGTTTGAATTTTTCATAACCCTCGCCTTTTATTACATATTATTAGTATTTTGTCTTTTGGAAGAAATGGTCCTTCATCATTATTATTATTTATATATATTAAAGTTATGAAAGATTTTAACAGTGGCATTTTTTTTGTCAATTTTGGTCCTCCAACTTACAACATTGACCCTTCATCTTTATGCTTTTGTTCACAAACAACCCTTTCAGTTTGGTTTGAATTTTTCATAACCCTCGCCTTTTATTACATATTATTAGTATTTTGTCTTTTGGCAGAAATGGTCCCTCATCATTATTATTATTATTGTTAGACAAAATTACACGATTGGTCCATGTGGTTTACCAGATTTAACATTCTCTTTTTGGTTTTAAATTAATATTTTATTTATTAGAAAATACCCACCCAATACCATAAACCCACCCACCATCTGCCATCACCACCACCACCACCACCACCGCCAAAATTACATAAATGGTCCATATGGTTTACCCATGGTGACAAATTCAGTCCCTACTACCTGAAAAGACCAAATTATCCTCACATTAACGGACAAAAAGCAACCAACATGCTACTTTACTTTACAAAGCAATACCTTCCGACCCCGCCAACGCCGGGGAATCTTTTCTAGCTATTATAATAATTATTATTTTATATTAGAATTATAAGTATAACAATAATGATTTCATATAGTTTTTAATATAAGTATTATAACAATTAATAATATAAATAAAGCATTAATATGGATGCATTATTAACATTAAATGGATCTGAACAAAATATAATAATAATTATTAATATAAATATAATAATTATTATTAATATAAATATATATATAATTATTATTGTTATTATTTTCTTAGTAGATTTATTATAATTAGATTTTTTTATGATTATGTTTTTGATAATTATTATTATTATTATTATTATGGGGTATCCTGTGTTTCGCGATGGGCAAATGAAAGCATGATGATGTAATTGGTAGGTTTTTAATAACCAATAATACTACATTTTTTAAAAAATTGTTAGATGTTAAGAAATCAACTGATAAAGAATGCAAAATATAAAAAAAAAGGACAATGCAAATAATACTGTAACATTACCCTAGCAAAATATATAAAGATAGCGGTTGTTATAGGGCGTTGATATATCCACCAATTTTTTTGATACTTCCACAAATTTTGAAGGAAATTGACAGTTATGCCCCTCCTTAAATTAAAACGTATGCACACAGTATGCTTTCATTTATCACCTGGGACTTCAATAATAACAAAACCGGTGAAACCCTCTTCCAGAATCACATGAACCTCACATTACGGCAAGAAAGTCAAATGCAATAAAACTCAGACGAGAAAATCAGTCTACGTGTCCAACTAAGAGTCGGTTCTCCCAAACCAACATTTACAAAAGGATCCTTCATCCTTTAAAAGTCTGTACAGAGAAATAAATTGTCATAAAACTTTGTGATTGTGTAATATAATGGTGCATTTTTGCTTGGTTTTAATGACTTGATTTTACCCACCTCCAACTGCGTTTGATATGTGCTTTGTAATGGTGTTTTTTTTACATTTGGAAATAGCTTTGAAATTGAAAATAACTTTACAGATGGCCATTGAAACTTAGTTGACGATTTTACAACATAGTAATCGACATTCTGAACCGGAAAGTTCACCGCCACCAAAAATAGGTAAATCTAGTAAACCTAGGAGATGGATTTTGTCACACCCCCAAACCGGAACAACGGAAACGTTCGGGGGCGGAGGAAGTCATGTTCGGTATCACAACAATTGCATAATAGTAATCAAAGTAAACACAACCATTACATTAATTGAATATAGTATTTACATCTGTTCAATACATAATTTGTATGACATCAAAAATGTATAACAAAAGTAAAAAAGACGCGACTCTAAAAGCTCCGTCTTCTTAAAACCTGCGGGTGTACCTGTCTACCGGTTCCCTGAGAATACAAGTGGTTTTGAAAGTGTATCAACATTTAAGTTGGTGAGTTCATAAGTATGTTTTTGTAATGGAAACTTGTAATTGATCTTTGAAAAATGTTCGTATGTGTTCCTCATAAAGCTCCAATATTTTCTTTAGTAATGAAAAGTAGCCTTGGGCCTTAAGACCAAAATGTACATTTGTTCTGTATAACATAGTAGTGTTTGTTATAAAACCCTTGTATGAAAACATTTGTATGTATGTCTGGTTACTACCAGCTGTAATGTATAATAGTGTACTGTATGAAAACCTGTGTATGAATCCCTGGATACCACCAGTAGTAATGTATAATAGTGTACTGTTGTTTCATTAATTAAAATAAAACCATTTGTTTGAAATCCCTGGAATCCTCCAGTTGTAATTTAGTGTAATTTTATTAGTTAAAATAAAACTATTTGAAGAAATGAAATCCCGTAAACAAATGTTTTAGTTTATACTGTTGTGAGTTTCGTATAACCATGCTTGATATGACCTAGTGACCTCTATGACGTTCTTTAGGCGTCGGAAACGTTATGACATTTGTCACCCCAGGCCTGTCGGCCTAACTGTAGCTAGCA